TGGGTCAGGAGAGGAAGCACCTACCTGCCGCTGATGCCATTCCCAGCCTCAAAGCCTAGTGGTGCCAGTGCAGTTGCACAGGTTTACAAAGATGATTTCAAACAGGGGTGCAGGCAGACCTGACAAATCTTCTCTGGGACTTCCATCTTCTCCCAGCCCTTCAACACCCATTCCCTGGTGACGTCCATCAGCAGGAACATTGTAAGGGGCTATGCATTCGAAGGGGCCTTATGACCTCCAGGGGACAGGGAGGGCTTTGCAGAGCCTGCGGGTAATCGGGAGTGACTGGTCATCTCTCCCTGGTAGGTGTTGCCCCAGAGCCCTGCGTTGTGTGGCAGGGCAAGCGAGTGGGGCCTCGACCAGCGTGGCAGGGTGAGACCCTCACCCAGTGTCCCCCACAATTGCTGAGAGTGGCGGCCAGGGCTTTGGGCATCTCCCGCTGACTCAGCCCTGCAGGTGAAATGCTTCTGAGCCCAGGACCATCTGGGAGTGGGTAGCGGGACCGGGCCTGGGTGTCAGGCAGCAGTGTGTGGGGACCATTGTGTGGAGTCATGGAGGTCATGGGCAGCAGCTGTCCCGGAGAACTGAAAGGGCCCCTTGGCCCTGGGCTGCTGCAGAGCTACCAGCTGTCAGCTGTGTGCTGGGTCAAAGCCGCTTGGAGCTCAGGAGGAGGGTGCGCCTGTGTGGGGGAATCTGGAGCTGGCCAAGGGCCCAGTCCAGTCCCTGTGCCTGGGCCCTGGGCATTTCCAGGACACACCCAGATGGAGCAGGGCAGGGCTTGGGTGCTCAGGGACAGAGGACCAGGATGACAGGGGAGGGCAGCAGGGAGCTCAAATGTCCGAACACAGCTGATGGAGTCTGGGGTAGATGCCAGGGGTATCCTCCGTCACCTCCCTTCTTTCACCTCCCCCAAGCCGTCTCACCCCTGCCCTGTTGATCCCTGAGTGCAGTGCTGTCCAAAGTCCCCTCCACGCTGTATGCCCGCCCTTTTCCCTGCCTGCTGGAGGCGGCTTTGGAGCACAGAAAGCTCCAAGGTGCCCCAACGTGCCCATGCCTTGCCAGCCCAACACACCGGACACCCCAAGGCAGCTCCACCTCACACATGGCTGCCACTCCTCCATGGTCAGTCCTTTCGGGTGGCAGGGTTCATCACTGTGGCAGGTTGAGAAGACAGAGGGTGGAGTCTAAGTCCCAGCCTTGTGGTTTACTTAGACCTGTGACCTGGAGCCTCTCAGAGCCTGCAGGCAGGTGAGATGTGAACCTGTGTGCAAAGTGCATGCACAGATCCTCAGAAATGTTCATGCCCTCTCCTTCCTACCTGAGCTGGGTTTCATCTATGTATTCTCTGGCAGCCATCCAAATCCTGCCGTCCTCACTCAGACCCTCATTGTTTGGGTTCTAAATGAAAGGATATTTAACTAAAATTAATTTAAGGAATAAAAAAGGATGGGAGATGTTTGTGGTCTGTGTGTAGGGGTGGAGGAAGCTAGCTTCGGGGAAGTTTAGACACCGGAACTTGGTACTGATCTCCTCCCTATCTCCTGGCTCTGCATCCTCTGGTTTAGTCCACACTTGGGGTGGGTTTCCCCTCATGGGGATAAAATGGTTGCAGTAGCTCCACCCTCACAGCTGTGTCTTTTCTATTAGCCGTTAAAGAGGCCTGAAGTCATTGTGTTTGGAACGGCTAATGGTATGCCCATGCCTGACCAGTTACTGAAGCCAGGAGATACAATATATACTGTTTGCCTTAGGCAAAGGAGGAGTGTGGAGGAAAGGTGGTTACCCCAACAGGAAAACTGGGGTGCTATTTCCATAGGAATAGAGAGGGGGTGCCGGGTGGCTCTGATCTCTGGTAATTTTTTTTTTTTTTGTACTGGGGATTGAACTTGGGACCTTGCACTTGTGAGGCAGGCAAAGGTACCCCTGAGCTAAATCCAGGGCCCTGATCTCTGGTAATTTGTAAAGTGTTTCATCCACACCCTCACTTCCCAGCTGTGCAGCCAGATGCTTCCAGAGGCAACTTGGAAGTTCTCCTTCGTACCCGAAGCCGCTAGACTCCCTGAGGTGGCAGAGTCCAGGTCCCGGTCCTTCAGGAGGCACTCAACAGCCATCTGGCTCCCAAGTGCTCTTCCAGGCCTGCTTCTCCCTCCCTCTCCTTGCTCCCTTTGGCCTCCCTACTCTTATTCCGCTCTCCTTGTTCTCTCCTCTGTGAATCAAACGCACCCCCACTCCTACAATGTATTCAAGTAAAAACAGGCGTTCACACAACACCTTGCATACCTATCTAATGGCCAGCAAGTGGTGAGAGAGAAAGTACAGAAGGCCATGTGCTGCCCCTCGGCTGACAGACGGAATAAAGCACTGACCCGTGCTGGCGCACAGAAGAGCCCTGGAAATGCACTGCTGAGTGACCGAATCCGCCAGGAAAGGCCATAGTTTAACATACCGAAGTGCCTGGAACAGGCAAATCCATAGAGAAGAAGGTAGGAGTTACCAGGAGCAGGGGGCGGGGGATGAATGTACTCTAGAATTAGGTAGTGGGGTTATTTGTACAACATTGTGAACATCCTAAAAAAACAAACATGGAAGCACTCTTTACATTGGAGAAATTTAAACTGGGCACGCTGGTGCATACCTGTAATTCCAGGACTCTGGGAGGTTGAGGCAGGAGGATCAAGCCCAACCTCCAAAATTTAGTGACTTAATGAGACCCTGCCTCACTTTAAAAAAAAGAAAAGGCTATAGATGTAGCTCAGTGCAAAGGCCTTGGGTTCAATTCCCAGTACTGAAAAATAAATAAATTAAAATTAAAAAGGTTTAGTTTATATTACATCTCAACAATTTTTAAAATGTTCACACCCGGCCCCACCCATCAGTCAAGGCCTTTTGCAAGGAGTTAGAAGTTCCCAGGTGCAAGCCTGCGAACCAGAGGCGAGGCGGGCTCAGCCAAGAGGAAACGCGCGCCAAACAAAGTGAGAAAGCGGCCCACAAGGCTGCTCCCAGCGCCAGGAAAGGAACCGGCAGGGCAGGGCGAACCTAGGTCAAGGGAAAGAAAACACTGAGCTCGGGCCAGCCGCGGAAGGCAAGGCAAGACGGAGGGGACCAAGGAGAGCCGGCATCGCGGCCCTGCTGGTCCCCAGCCTCGGGTGCCGCTCCGTCTCCAACCCCCCAGCTTTGTTCCTGGCACCCACTTGGTTCACAGGCACAGGGCTGTGAGGGACTTTTGTTCCCCTGGGCAGCTGCCCTGCGGCCCTGAGAAGGGCTTGACTCCCAAAGGGCAGCCACGCCAGGGGTTGGGAGAGGGCGGCGCAGCTTCCCTGGGAGGCTCAGACCCATCCGCCCAGCCCTTGGGTTTGTGTGTCGGGGCTTGGGGCCTGACCAGACTTGCCGGGGATGCCACACCAGGGCACTGAAGCAGAGGGAACCCAGCCAGTCCCCACCCTCTCAGATCTTCCATTCTAATACTCGTGCCCCACAGCAGGCCCCAGGATGACAGGCGCAGCAGGAAACTGGTGACATAGCTGAACAGGGTCTAGGGACAGTCAGCTGGCAGTTGCTTGGCACTGACTTCCTGACAAGAATAAAAGGGAACCATCTGGTGGCAGAGGCGTGTCTGCCAGACCTGTCTGCTGCCCTCTCTGGGTGTGCATCCTGCTCTTTCTGTTCCGATCTTCGATGACTGCTCAGGCCCTCCCATCATTTCCAAGTCACGAGACTGTATCCAGGCAACGGCCTTCAGCTCTCATTCATGCCTGGCCACCAGGAGCTCCAGCTCTTTCCATTGCCTCGGATTTGCCAAGGTCCAAGGCCCCCAGGGCCTCTGGGTCTTCCTGAGTGTGCAAGAGGAGGTGGGCTCTGTACCTTGCAAGGCGGAGCAAGGTGTTACCATTCCCTGCAAGGCATCTGCAGAAGCCAAGTGACCACTGCAAGGGCTGCAGCTCCCCAGGAGTGGCGAGTGGCCTCCCCCGATAAGGGCTGCGGGATGCAGGCTCAGACCATTTATCATGGCTAGAGGCCTGGTGGCTAATCTTCCTAGGCCTGGGTTTCCCAAAGCAGCATGGGCAGGTTTCTAGCTGGCCCTGGCCTTGGTAGAAAGTGCTCTAGAGCTGGGGCTATTGTAGCAGGCTGTGGAGGAGGGGTTGGGCCCCCAAAGATGCCTCCTCATGCTACTCTGAGGAGCAATGGCTTCTTTGTGTGAGGAGGGAGATTGGCTGCCCAAGCTGGGGCTTGTTCTAACCCTTGTCCTCAAAGGAGGCACCCACAAAACTAACAAAACAAAGCAGCAGCTCCTTATGTTCGGAGAGCCGCTTCACTCAGGCCTGGCCAGATCTGTGGCTCGATTGCATTTCTGGGCTGCAGAGGAGGTGGGGAGGCGAGGGCTGTCAGGTTACCTATTTATTTCAGAGTCAAAGCATAGGCATCAGCTGCTGCCTCACATTTCCCTGGCCCTACAGTGGAGGCTTTCCAGCCTTGGCTCTGGGATTTGGGGTGGGGTAGCCTGCTACCCAGGACAGAGACCCACCCCCTTCCCCAGATGCCAGGACACATGGGCGGGAGAGGTGCTGGGGCCCCAGAAGCCCTGCCCTGCTGAGTGCTCTGGGCTACGGGAAAGCTCTGCGCTGCTGCACGGCGGCTGGGCAGAGTGGTCACCACCAGGGACTCTGGCTGTGGAGCTCAGGAAGGTCACCTCCTCCAGATGGAGAGGTCAGCCTGGGACCACAGCACGCATATGAAGCCGTGTGGGGAGGGCCAGGCCCATGGCCAACTGCTCGATCTGCAGCCCAGCTCTGCTGGTCCACGCCCAGCACAATGGCTGAGGGCCCCTGGGAAGCTGAGGGGTGGGGCTGGACAGAAACCCAATGTGACCAGTGCTCTGCCTTCAATGGACACAGGTCAAGTAGGAAACACTGTCCACTACCAGAAGAATGAAAGTGGGAGAACGATGAAACTCAGAAGTTATTCTCAAGATATTTATTTTTATTTCTGCAAAAGTTCTATGTGTTTGAACCATGAAGGAAACCATAAAACCTTCCTGCCTTTTCTGATCATGGAGTTTCCAAAACCAGTTAACTTCTGGGCACTGTGCACAAATCCTGAGAGCAGAGCTTCCTTCCAGAGAAGCCCGAGCTGAGCCGGGGCCTGGCAGAACACCTTGACCATGGGAGGCCCTAGCCCTGCCCTCACAGCTGGATCCTCCTCTGGGAGCCCCCAAGTTTGGGGTTGCAGAGGCCCACACCTGGGCTCTCCACATCTGTGAGGCTGCACAGGGGACAGCAAAGGCAGAAGACTTAGATCCTGACCACCTGGGCGGCAACACACGGATTCTGCCTCTCCTCTCCATCCTCAGGTGTCCTTCTGAGGTAGAGGCGTCCGAAGGTGCCGCCTACCTGTCCTTTGGTGAGGCGCCCTGGGTTCACACAGACACAGCCGAGGATGTCCTGGGAAGGAAAGGAGGAGATTGGGCCACCTTATGGGGGGGTCTCATTGGACAATGGAGGCAGCATCAGATGCTTAGACACCAAAGAGGGTTTTATAAGGGGGAAACAAAGGGAACCAAACACATACACAGTCAAAACCCTGAGTTCCTTCTGGGTCTCTGAGACAGAATAAAGAATGAGGTGACCTGGCAGGAGGACAGTCAGCTCTCATACTTGGAGACAAACCCAACCCAGCTGTTTCTTGTTTTCCCCTAGCTCTCGAGGCTGGACAACTCCGGTTTAGAAGAGGAGGACTGGCCTGGGAGGATTCCCTGTGAGGAGCGCAGGGTGGCAGAGACCAGAACCCAAGGGCTTCTCCGAGTGCTCTCTGCTGAGCTTACTGGGAGGTCACATGAGACGGCTGGAAGGGCTGGCAAAGGCACATGTGCAATGTTCCCAGGTCACCCCGACACGGCTGGGCCCTGACAAGAGCCACTGCCTGACAGTCTTCTTTCCACCTGGGCTCCTGATCTTGCTGGTGGGGTGGGGACAGCATCTACTCAAGCTGAATTTTACCCGCAGGTTTGTTGTCTGGTCTTACTACTTCCCCCAAAGCCATGAAGCCCCAGCGATGGGCCTCAGAGGCCACCGATCCCATCTGCAGACCCACAGAGAGTGAGTGTCAGGAGAGCGAGAAGGGAAAAATCAAAGCCTGGCTCTGGTGTCTTTTGGAAAAAGCCAGTTCAAACCTACCTTCACAAAGTACTTCAGCTCCGAGGGGACTATGAAGACATCTGGGGTGACCGGCAGCTGAGCATAGGCATAGAAGTTCTCATAATCGATGGCCATGTCCTCCTGGGGTGGGTAGAGTGGGTAGTAGCTGCAAAGACAAGAGAAGCAGTCAGCAGCAGAGGATTCTGGGATCCCAGCCCCAGATAGGCTTCCTGCCTCTGGCTTCCCTGCTGCTCCCATTCACAGACCAGCCTTTGCCTTTCTGCGTTTGAGGGGACAGGACACAGCCTTGTTGTCACAGGGTGAAGGTCCGTGGTGGATGCTCTGACAGCCAAGTCTGTCACCTCCCCCCAAGTACTGTCATCTCAGCTGGAAGCCCAGCGAGTGAGCTCACCTCCTTTGTGTCAGGATGTGCTTGAGTATTCTGCTGAATCTGTCTGAAGTCCCGGAAGAACTGGGAGAGGAAGGACAGTGAGGACTGGACCCAGAGCTTTGTGCTGCTGCCTATAACTCTTCAGGTCAGGCCTGAGAATTTAGTGAACTGGAGAGAAGCTAAGTGGTCAAGGCCACACCAACGGGGCGAGGGAGTGTGAAGACCCACTCACAGGCAGCTGCTTGCCCTATATCAAAGGGAAACAACACCCTAGGCTGAGAGGGAAACAGCAGGAGTCCTAGTCATCAAGATCAAGGAAGGCCCAGGCAGGCACTATCCTGTTGAAGAGGACTGGTTTCTGTCCCACCAGGAGGTGATAGGCTGACCCTGCACCTCAGACCTCACAAAGCACACACTTGGTTGCCCTGACCCTGTTCATTCTCCTCCTCAAAGAGGATGAAGAACCAACCAATAAACCCCAAAGCCACAGATCTGGGTGCCTCCGATTCTCTGCAGGGCCACACTATGCTCTGGAGAGAGTGCTTTGGGGTAAATCCATGCCCCGTTGTCCTGCTCCCTGGCCCGGAATAAACTTCTCACCTACAGATCTCCTCAGCCCCCATGTGGAACAGCAGGTCTGTGGATGTCAAGCCAAAGATCACCCCGTTTATGGAGAGGGTGCAGGGCTCTGACACCAGCTGCACCCGCTAAAACGAGAAGGAGCAACAAAAACATTTACAGAACAGCCAGAAGCCTCTTCCCCAAGATGGCAGGCGACAACTGAAAAGGAAAAACCCACACGCAGCAAATGATACCCACCTTTGCCTGTTGTGAAAAAGAGTTTAGGAGTCAGGCTACACGTGTCCCCTGAAAATACTCGGAGAAGCCCTTGGGTTGTTCTGGTCTCTGCCCCCACCCTGGTTGGGGCCTAGGCACCTGTACCTTGCTGCATGTTGGCTGCTGGCTGAGCAGGGGGGGCACTGGTACCTTTTTATCCTCTCGTGACAGATCGGAGTAGCTGAAAGGTGGCTGAGGGTACACAGGCTCGTGGTGCACGTCTCTCAGGGATGGAACAAAGACAAGGTGGGAGCCAGAGCTACTTTGTCAAAACACAAGCACAAAAGAGAAAATGAGCACAGCTGAGCTGGAACGGTGGGGCCATACGTAAAAGTGATACAGCAACCCCACCACCAGGGAGGCCTGGAGTGGGACTTCGCTCTGCAGAGATGCTGTCCCCAGGTCAACCGGGAGAGAGGCACTTTTTGCTCTCTTGTACACATCGTCTTGACCCAGCACAGACTGCCCAGGGCACACTAGCCCTCGCGCTATGATAACCCAATTCAGGGTACAGGGGAATTAGTTTGGTAGAAAAAGGGAAGAAGAAACTGAGATCTAGAAAATGTTGACCAACAAGGATTTGACCAAAGAATGAGTCTCAGAGCCAGGGGCAGTTGGTAGACATTCAACAGTCTGGCTGACATACAGCTTGGAAATGTGAGGCAGGGACCCTTCTCAGGGAAAAACCAGACACTCAGGTTAGATGCTGAGACTGTCTTAATATTTCGAAGATCAAACTGAAACCCCTGGAGTAGCCAAGCCCTGGGCCGTGAACACTGGGACCCTTTCGGAGAGATGGGTCACAGGCTGGGCTTTCCCTGCTGTGGTGCACCACGGCCCTGTTTCTCCTCTCAGCAGTGCGGCAAGAAAGTGAATGAAGCACTTAGCAGAGCTGATGGCAGATGCAGCCCTGGACAGAAGCAGAATCTCTAGGGCTTCATGGGAGTGAAGAAAGCTGTGACTCTCGGGCCAACTGTTTATTCTCTCCAGCCACACAGAAGACAGAGCGGGGCCAGGCATTTTACTCAGTGGTTCCACCACCTGCCTCACAAGGACCTGAGTTCGATCCCCAGTACCACCTCAAAAAAAGACAGAGGGAAAATGCCCCTTTCCTTGGTTCCCCTAGCTGTCCTGGGCAGGGGACCCATTATAAACCAAACAGGCATGAAGCCTTACTAGGAGCATGTTTAACACCTTCCGGTAGCTTTCACAGAGCCTCCCTTCTCTTGCTGAAAATACTGGGAAGGCACTTATCTCATGGTTATCACATCTCCTCCCCAACAGAGCCCTCAGACCAAAGGTACTTAGGGTATTAGTTACAATCCCTCTGACATTGAGAAGTTCATACAATCACCCAAGTCTGGACTCTGGTAAACAGGCTGCGAGGGTAACATGAACAGGACAGTCCCAGCTCCAGGGACGGACACAAAGTTCCAAGGTGCAAGAGATGAAACTGCTGCTTCAGCACAAGCAGTGGAAAGGCCAGAGTTATGGAGCAGGCAGTCCCCTGCTTGGGGTTATGAACCAGCCACAGGGCAGAGGGGAAGAAAATTCCAACTATGCTCAGCACTGCACAACTTCAGTCATCATGGTGGGAGGGTCTTGCTGCGCTCCCTCTCGGGTTTGGTGCCTATTGATAAAGGAAACTCGCTACTGGAGGACTCAGTTTATAGTTTCTGGAAAGGTGGGACAGAGGCCTCCCACCCCAGGGCGCACACACGGCCCACAGATCAAAGTGCCTGGTGGTGCCGGGCAGCCACCCCTGGCATAACAATGCTTGTCTGTTCTTTGTTTGTATCACTGCCGTCCATACCACATGGCGCAAGGACCAAATCAGAACCCAAACTCGGTGTGTAAGCACCAGCCAGCGTGGGTGCCTGCCGGCCCGAGACTGAGCAAAGTGGGCCATGGCTCAGCTCCTGCTCTTGGGGGTCCTCTCCAGAGGGGCCCGACACGCTCAGGCCTGATGAAGTCAGTCATAGCCACGACAAGTCTGGAAAAGCAGGGAAGGCACTTGGGTCCCGCACTACAGGCAGAGCAGGAGGAAGTGAGGGCTGCTGCTTCCCAGCCCAGCTCTCAGCTTGGGGTGAGCTGGGGCGCTCTACCTGGGTCCCCTGCCTGCCACCACGGCACGCACACTGGTTCAGGAAGGCAGTGCCCTGACTAATCAGCCCTCGGATCTGTCAAGATTATACATCTTGTTTTTGAAACTACCTTTGTTACAGATGCGTTTTTAAAAGGCTCAACCTCAGGAATGTTTGTTTTTTATGAGTTCAGTAACAGGCAAATCCCAGGAGGAGATCCATCACTATACCGTTTCTTTTAGACTCTGGCACAGGAGGAAAAGACACAGGAACTGAAGTATCAGCTTTCTGGAATGACTTTCTGCTTCTAGTATTCAACTCTTCCTGGAACCGTGACTTTCCTCTCAACTTAGAGCAGCTCTTACATCACTGCTGTGACCTGTACTTTCTTCTGTCTGGGCGATAGTGAAGATCCAAGATCCCCACCCTCACTAAGAGCTCCTGCCACCCATTGCTCTTGCCCTTGGTGGGTCCCACCTAACAAGGAAGCACTGACTCAGGGAAGGAACTTGGACTCACCCCAAAACTCTCTCTCACACATAGACAAAGGATTTTGTTGTGTCAATCATCAAACACTTCTCAAATCTATCCTGGGAAGATTCCCCTAGAATATCAGTTTATACAGAAGAGAGTGAGAAAAGGAAGCAAAGAGGAAAAAAAAAAAAAGAGCAAAGGAAGAGTGAGAGTCTCTGTAGTTTTTTCTTTTAAGTCTGTTTATCTCTGTTTTACACAGATGCTTCTTCGCCTTGCATCTGTGCACTTGGACTTCCAGGGTTCTATCTGATCTCATGGTTCAAAAGGGATGAAAAGGACAGGAACCAACATGACTTTTCAACAGTTTCAGTCTCTTACTGGGAAGTGCTGGAAGAACCTAGGAAGCCTCAGGTTCTTTCCAGCATTTGTAATTCTGACCTTCTTGTCCCTTCAATAATTGTTCGCAGACACTGCTTAAAAACATCTTCAAACGGGCTCGTCAGCAGACAGTTCTGCAAGAAAGGAAAGGTCGTGGATTCAGAGGGGAGATGGCTGGTGTCCATCCACTTGTAAACACTCATTAGGGGACCCGATGTCAGCTGCGGACAGGCAGATGAAAAGATGAAAAGGATACACATGCTCTCTGCCACAAGGCTGGCCTAGGAGTGGGCAGAAGAGACGGGGGAAACAAGATCCCAAATATAAATGTAACTGTACCTAAAAAGTACCAATAAACTCAATGGGAAAAAAGAAAACGAGAGGTGGGGGAAGGAAGAATTAATCCTCTTGAACGTAAACTGAGAGAGACTAAGAGGAAGAACACTTCTAAGGAAGGCGAAATTCCTGAGAAAGGCTATGAGGCCCTGGCCCTCCATCAGGAAGACGACCTGGGAAGGGATATCTGTGTTTTACGACCAAAGGACAGCCAGATACCAATTACTGACTTAGGGTGGCAGCCACATGCATTAAGACCCTCTCACAGCTCTGTGATGCTGCGGTACCTGCATCTGTGCTTCTGCTCTTATGCCTAAGAGCCAAGTACCGCAAACTAAGGAACTGATATAGTTTCCTTTCCCTCCTCAGATTCCAGGCGATCTCACATTCTAGTGAAACAAAGTCCTCAAATGAGATGCTCGCTAACCATGTTCTTCCCATTATCCTGGGTTTGTTTAGGCTTGTTACATAAACTCCAAAAGAGGGAGGGAAAAGGGGGGTACACCAGACACAAGTGTCTGGTCCCCTCCTTACCTGCCCCAGATACTCACCTCCACCTGCTCATGCTTAGCATCCAGGAAAGGACCAAACTGCACAGGAGCCCAACGGGGAGAAAAAGGCAGCAGAAGAACAAATCAGAATTGCAGAAGTCTACAAACGCCTTCAGACACAACCTCTTCTAGCTGCTCTCTGCCCAGGGTCCATCTGTCCCTCCAAGGCTGCCTGGAGAGCCTGGGGACAGGCAGCAGATGGGGGAGGGGGCACCTAGCCAACTGCACAGGCAGAAGCACTGAGCGCTGGATGGACAGAGGCTCCCAGGGCCTCATAACCTGGACCACTGCCCCAGGACAATGAGCTTTCTGCTTTCTAGGACTTAGAAAGACAAGTAAGCACCGTGCTAACAGTGGGACTTTGAGCATAAAGAGATTAGTTTAAAAGCTGGAGTCATGAGACAGAGGTAAGAATTGTGTAAAATTAATGAAAGGCAACAAAAAACACTGGACTTTTAGATTTAACAAAGGCCTTTGATCATGTACAGCTCTCCAAAATGCAGATTAAGAACTAAAAGCAGCACATGCCTATAATCCCAGCACTCAGGAGGCTAATGCAGGAGGATCGCTGTGAGTTTGAGGCCAGCCTGATCTACACAGTGAGTCAAAAAAAAAAAAAAAAAAAAAAAAA